ATCCATATCTATATTTAACAATTTTGTTAAGAAACCATTGTAATCTTCTAATATTTATTTGTGTGGTCATTTCGGAGTATGAAAAACTTTATAGATGTTCACTAGGTCAGGTTTAATACAAGAAAGATCTAATACTAACAAAACCTAAACGAAGTTTCTTGACATAGTTGTGTTTATATTCCTTACCACTTGACCGTGACGTTTGCGTGTTAAAAGCATTTTCACACATAATAATATACAAATAAAACATATGAAATAGTAGCCTATAGTAATATTTATTTTATGTTTACATCACCTTTTACCACTGTTTGCACTTTAAAAAAAAAGTAAATAAATGGTACACTTTATTTTCTACCTTGTTATGTTTATTTGTTATAAGATTTAAAATGTTTATTTTGTTACTGTATGCGACCATAGGAAAACATTACATACAGAACTGGTGTGTGAGGGTTCTAAAAGCACTTGATTTCTCTAGTGAACCAAACGTGCCAAAGTAGATATTTCAACAGTTATCTACCCTGTTATTTTTAGGTTTCATTTTATAAATAAAATAAGACAATGAAACTAATTCTCTATATTGTAAGTTGCTATAGTGAGATGGAGGCGCTGTAGCTTCTACGATACTCTCCATACCGACATCTAGCAGCTGAGAGTAGTCCAGCATCAATCTTAGTTATAAGAACAACATGTACAAATTGCATAAACAGCGTTTAATAACACGCTTTTATGTTAGAATGAATAAAAATGCGAAAAAAAAATATGTTTAAATTTAAATGTAACTAGATTACTCGTTATCCTTGGATAACTGTGTGTTTTTGGGGGTCATCCACAAATAACATCACGTCTGCCTCTTATCGTCACAAAAATCCAGACCCACATTAAAAAGACGTCACACCTCAGACGTTTATGTCTTTTAGAAACACCTATTTCGGCTGAGCATCGGTCTGACCATACGATCCCTTCATATGCTGAGGTCACAAATTCAGGTCAACTCTAATTATACTGCCCAGCATCCCGCCAACTGAGACATGTTTTTGTCCTTTAAAACACCGATTTCGGCTGAACATGTCTGACCACTCTATTCCTTCATATGCTGAAGTCACAGGTAAATTCTACACCTTTCCAACTCTACTTCACCTGTCCAGTGTCCCGCCAAGTCTCAGGCAACATGTTTTTATCGTTTTAAAACACAGGTTTCGGCCGAGCATCGTTCTGACCTCACTATCCCTTTATATGCTGAGGACACGGAAACTGGTGAACTCTACTTCAACTGCCCTGTGTCCCGCCAAGTCCCAATTGTAAACTTTATCATTTACATCTAAAAACAAAATTGAAGAAAAAATTAACTGGTAACTATTACACTAACATCTTAGGTATGTGGATACTTCCCATTAGATGCAGATTTAGATGTATTATTTACTTAGAGTCTGCAAAGTAAGAAACTTCATTTACGCGAGAAGGCCCTATTATTTCAAATTAAATTATATCCGAAATTAGCCAATTCGATAGCTAAACGAACAAATATGTAAATAAAATAATTAAGGCTTGAATACGTTTAGTATAGAAACTCATTATTGACATAGATTCTAGATCTAGATAAAGCAAGATCTGGATGTAGAATCTACGGCTGGCGTAAGTCTAATTTTTTCGTAGCTCTAGATCTAGAACCTAGATAGATAAATCCCATGTATTTTCGTATTAGATGTTCCTTGATGCTAAAAAGAAATATTTACATCAAATAATTAAGGACTAACATAGTTTAATAAAGAAAGTCAATAATTTATTGTGATTTTATATTGGTTTTTATTTTTAACTAATTAATTTTGATTTGACCTAGATTCTAGATTTTAGATCTTGGATTGACTTTCCATTCCTCCGATAGCATATCTGTAGTTTTAGAGAAATGCATTGTATACTCAAATTAGAAGAACTGTTGAAAATTGATAATAGTGTTGGAACCTAATAAAATAGCAAACGGACGTATCGCTATAGCTATAGCCGACAGACGATTAGCTTTTTAATGCGTTAAACTTTTGAATGGGCATGAAATCCGTCATTATTGTTGTAAAAAGAAAGTGCATATTGTGACGTCACTATAAGTAAAATCATTGTTCTGAACTTTTATAATTAAAGTGGTGCATCTACCAATGAATATATTAATAAATTAATTAACGTCTTAAATGAATTTGTGATTAACACATAGTGCAGAATCTCTCCAGTAACAAAACAGAGGAAAAAAACAAAAACAAATAAAAAAACCAACGAAACAAATAATTATATAAACATGTAAATAAACTTGAGTATTAGAAATATATAGATACATAGATAATAAAGTACTATTTAAATAACTAAAAATGAAAGTATGGATCGCTATAAGTGAATACTTTTAAGAGAATTTAAGAAGCGACCAACGCTTTTATTTTTAGTTATTTAAATAGTCGTTCATTATTATTTTTAATGACATTTATTTATTTTCTCCTTTTTTGGTGCATCTATTTTAACTAAAATTTAAGTTTGTTACAAGTTTGAATATATATGTAAATATATTTGTTTGTTTGTTCCGCTTTATCAGAGCATTTTCAGTCTATTTCCGTATGCACAAGCGAGATTAAAACACTGTCAAAGGGACATAACTAAATAAATACTTCAATAACTTTTATCGTAATAGTTGTCATTCTTGAATTTTTTTAATTTTCTTATCAACTAATCTAAGTTAGTTCGAATTTAAATATAGTTTAGAATACTGTATTATTTGAATCGTTTAATGGATGTTATAGTTTTCAGACATATTATACAGACTGTGATGACGGTGATTATGTACACCGTTGTGTCAGTCTTGTTTATGAGGCACAGCTTTTAAATCAGACACTGATCTAACCTTTATAGATCGTATGCATTTTGTCCTGAATTAAATCAGCAAGTATTAGCATATAGCTCATTAATTTACAACGTATATATTCATAGTAGGTTCATACATCTAAATGTAATTGGATAAAGAATATTTACTGTAAAGCATTCGCGTTTGAATATATGTAACGTTTGTAATGCACTACTGGAACTTTGCTACGCATGTTTAGTTTTATATCTACAATTATGTAGAGCTTGTCGACTTAAATATGAGTTCGGGACGGTGTTAACTGGCTCTATATTTTCTCCATTACTGATTCACTATTTTGGTAACAATAACATTTCGATTTCATAATACATTGCTGGTGCTCACAAATATTGTTTAGAATGATAAACGTTTAAGACAGTATTATAACATATTTAATTATTTAACATGTAAAGTGTTTGAATAGAGGCTTGTTTATCCACAAAATATGACTCTTTAATAGTAATCAGGAAAATATTACTTAGAAACAAATACGATGTAGATACTCTGACGTTTCATTCTCTGGAAATTGGAGTATATTAAAAACTGTTTAGAATGTAACGAACACAGTAGCTCAATCATATATTGATTGGAAATCGATCAGCCATTTACCTATGTATGGTGTAACAGAACACACCGGATCAAACAAAAATTACTGGAGCGTGACAGTGACGCCCGTGTCTTACAATCATGTGTTCGATATTCAAACCTACCTGTATCCGTTTAGTTCAGGGGTCTCCAAACTACGGCCCGCGGGCCGGATGCGACCCGCGAGGTCCTCTCATCCGGCTCGCGGAGATCTTTTTGTCCACGGAAAAAACATTGTTGGTGATGGCTGAGGAACTTTGCCCAGAAAAATCAAAGACATGCCTGGAAGAAACTGGCCCCCGAACTGAAATTTGATAGTTAATGCGGCCCTCGGACTGAAAAGTTTGGAGACCCCTGGTTTAGTTGAATAAGTAACATTATTGAGGAATGTTTTTAGAGATTGTATTTCGCGGACAACTAATGCTGTTGGCGTGTGTTTCAGCTATAGAAAGAATCATTGCTTTTTAGTATTGTAAAATAAATAGCTGTGTACTTTGGTAATTTGTACAAACGTTTTTTATCCTAAGTAACATATTGGTTTAATGTTAGACTCACAGGTATACTAAAAATTTGTTTTTTAATATTAGGTCTTTTTATAATATTTGCATAGTTTCTCAATTTACCAATAATACCGTATTCAGTTGTTTAACAAAAGAAAACAAATATAAATGTTACACTGCCTCACTGGGTATAGGCATAGACTACCCAAATTTTAATGACGTCATTAAAAATTTTTCCTATCATCATATTACCAATTTGTTCGGATCGCAAATGAACATTGATACAAACATCAGTATGATAACGTTTTTATGTGCGCTGACTCACTACATTTTAAATTAAACTTTTTCTTAATTAAGTAATTGATCATATTCAAATGCAAAGTACCCCTAAGTCAATCGTAAGACAACAAACAGCAAAATAATAATAATAATTTCTGGCCTGAATTTATTGAGTTTTAAGAAAAGCTTTTATCTTATTTGATAACCGCGGAAAATTGTGAAAAGCCTAACTTCATATCTGGCAAGTCTGTCAAAAGTAGAATGAAGCACGTTAAGCTAATACGTCTAATGAAATAGTTTTCCATTTTCTTTATATTCTAATCATTTTGTATTATATTATTAGATTTGAAAACTTACGATTTTATTACTGTCTTATTTAAAACTAACTAATTAAGTTTAACTTACAAAACAATTTGAATGAGCTTTAAATTTAAAATATTTAGAATCCCTTCTATAAAAATTTAATATGTCGATATTTAAAAAAAAATATATTTGTTTTTCCAGTTGAGACTACATTTCTATTTATTTTCATTACTGACATGTTGGTGAAAAATCTTGTGACTAAGAGTAAATATCCTACATATGATGTCAACTTCTGTACTGTTGCCAAAGGATTAATCTATTTTACTTAAGATACACACGTTTTGTTGGACAACTAATATTATAAACATAATTATTTTAACCATTGCAGATACCAACGTTACAAGGAATGTTCATATATAAAAGAGTCGAGATAAGTTCATAAACAAAAGACAAAAATAATGGCTACTGATGCTCCATTAAAACAATGTTTAGGTAAGCTTTTTTTTTATTTAGTTCGACAATCTGTCTACATGTAGTACATGTATTAAAACTTTAATATTTTTTTTAAATCAGAAAATAACGATAATGACCCTGACGAACAGAACAGCACGTTGAATGAAGAAGACGTGTCGATATATTTTAGAGGTACTGTCAAGTTTGTTTCTACTTATGATGAATATAAAACAATCAATACAATCGATATAAAAAGAAATCTATTAGCCTGATCTGCTCTAAATATTTAATTTTCATGTAGTCAATGTGTTAATAAAATGTTAAAATGTAGTTTTTTTTTCTTCTTTAACTTCTCATAATCTTGACTTTTGAGCAGACTGGGAATATTCGATGTCCACTTTTTGTAAATTCATGTTTGTAATTATTCAACAAAAATGTTTTGGTATTATTTAAATGTCCAGGTACACATGAAGTCCAAGAATGTCTTGAAGGTCAAGGTGAAGCAGATCTACATACATTCAACTCTAGTTGTACAAAAAATCCTGGCCATACCCAGTTTATACCAGTTAAAACTTTAACTTTACGACATTTTCCTTCTGGTTACCAAGACAACGACCTGTTTGATTTAATCAAAGCCATGTCTGACGTCACGGTTAGGTTAGCTGTTAGATTCACCAGTCTTGAAAGACCAGAGTTTATATCTGGGACTACAGACCCATATCCTTTTTATGACTCAAGAGGAAAGGACACATTGAGGACAGGGACTGGGAGGGTGGATCATGTCGACAGGTACTCCGAGGAAACTCACAACATGACATGTCCATGTCCTGAATGTGTGGATTCCCCACACCCAGCAAAGTGTGGTGGAAGGTTGGTATACTGACAGCCAGACATGTGGTGTTTGATTCGATTGAGGCGAGACAGGCCAGCTGTAGGTTGTGGTTTGATGAAGAAAAATGTCCAGTCGTCAAGATTTATGGGTGGACATTGGATGCGTCAGACACTGATATGGACAGGTGCAGGATGCATTGTGTGACGCATGACTTAGCGTTAGGTGAAAAAGTAAAAAGTATGTACACGTATTTTTTTCGTCTTTATGGTAAAGTGAGTGACAAATTTAAGTGTCATGAAGATGTGAATAAGCTGGCCGTTATAGTTTCACATCCACATGGCTGTTGTAAGCAGGTCTCTATGGGTGAATGGGTGCACAAGCAGAGGGTTGACAAAAGGACGAGATACACCTACACCACGTGCACCTGTCCAGGTAGCAGCGGGGCTATCGTCTACAGGGTGGGGGTGAATGGAGCTCAGCCCACCCTCACAGTGGGGGGGTCACCCACTGGATTAAATTACAGTGGCGCTTGGAATGAGTTCATTCTTTAATTACATTGGGACGTTGGATCAAGATTGGTGTTAGAGTGTTGCACATAAAAAAGAAAACTTGAGTGTAGTGTAAATAAACATTCTTTCATTTATTAGCATCACCTTTTGTTAGTCCTTATATCGACTTTGTTCCTCTAAAATAAAGTTGTAAAACAGATTTTTCAATGTTTTCTTTTATGTGTTAACTGACTGGCTGGGCACTTTATTTTGTTACTGTATGCTGTATAGTTGGAAATGTTACAGATAAGGTGCTGTAGTTGGAAATGTTACAGATAAGGTGCTGTAGTTGGAAATGTTACAGGTTAGGTGCTGTAGTTTGAAATGTTACAGGTTAGGTGCTGTAGTTTGAAATGTTACAGGTAAGGTGCCGTATTTTAAAATGTTACAGGTAAGGTGCTGTAGTTTGAAATGTTACATGTAAGGTGCTGTAGTTTGAAATGTTACATGTAAGGTGCTGTAGTTTGAAATGTTACAGGTAAGGTGCTGTAGTTTGAAATGTTACAGGTTAGGTGCTGTAGTTTGAAATGTTACAGGTTAGGTGCTGTAGTTTGAAATGTTACAGGTAAGGTGCCGTATTTTAAAATGTTACAGGTAAGGTGCTGTAGTTTGAAATGTTACAGGTAAGGTGCTGTAGTTTGAAATGTTACATGTAAGGTGCTGTAGTTTGAAATGTTACAGGTAAGGTGCTGTAGTTTGAAATGTTACAGGAAAGGTGCCGTATTTTAAAATGTTACAGGTAAGGTGCTGTAGTTTGAAATGTTACAGGTAAGGTGCTGTAGTTTGAAATGTTACAGGTAAGCTGCTGTAGTTTGAAATGTTACAGGTAAGGTGCTGTAGTTTGAAATGTTACAGGTAAAGCGTGAAATACAACGGCAATTAATCACGAGTCAAGCATTAGATTTGAGCTTCGTAGGAATTTTAGGATAGGCCTAATTAAACTTTGAAAATATCACTTGTGATTGGAACACGGGCATTAGAAATGTCAATGACACATCTTGTAGGAGTCGTCAAAACCCGAGGTTAATGGAGTGGTGTGGTGGCGTCAAGAGGCTCTACAAAGGATCGACAACAATGATGATTGTTGCAGTATAGTAGTCCTTGATGCAGTAATATGTTATGGCTCAATCAATAAAGATAATTTAACAAAAAGCACATATATTTCAAACTATAATTAAGCGTTGTGGATTTTCCTTAATTATAATTTTAAATGTTTGTCTTTTTTAAAAATTAGTTTTATTGATAAAGTTTTATAACGCGAAACAGCCTATTTCATGTAGGTTATTACCTGGAAGGTTAAGTTAGACTTGACATCAAGAGTATTCAAAACGACATCCCATAGGGTTAAACAAGATGAGCATGACACCAAACATGAAATTAAACGAATACCACAATAACTGCCTTGATGGTGTATGATATGTTGTTTAGATGGTTACATTATGAGACAGTTGTTGTTCAACTATGTCATGTGACTTTCAATAAAACGTATTAACGAAATACTATATGACTTTGAACCAGTGTTTCTTCCAGACTTTTTTCTCCGGGGGGGGCACTTGAAATCTTCGGGGGGGCGGTAAACTTTCTTCGGGGGGGCGGACACTGTTAAAAGTATATATTTTCTATATAAATTATATAAATTTCATTTCGTTCGGGGGGGGCGGTAAAAAATTTTCGGGGGGGGGGGGGGGGGGGGGGGCTTCGCCCCCCCGAAGAGATGCCTGGAAGAAACTCTGCTTTGAACCTCTCATATTTAAACTTATACTTAGAGTTTCAATGTGAAGCCATTTCGGGAGTCAGTTTGTCATAACATTTTTTGTCGTTTTTCTATTAGTCGAGTTCTAATTTTTAACTATTTCTTTGAATTTGTATCGCCCGGGACAAGTCCAACTGTAATTGTATACAGAACTTGTTGAAATTGTATGTACGTGTGTAGGCGTTATGATGCCTTCACTGTGAAATACCTGAGGAGAAAGGACTGTGAAATACCTTAGGACATAGGACTGTATCCATACATCTCCACTGGGCTCAGTTTTGGGCGGCTCTCTTTTATTTGCACCCACGTAAGCCCATCAGTCCGTGCTTCTTCTTCTGTTGCCCTTATCCAGGATTCTTTAGCCTGGACCTCTTTTCTAATCCCCTGGGGTTTCAAGTCCAAGTTTTTCTCGCGATGTCGACCTCAGGGCTTGTTCAACCCATCCCAGATTTACACATAAGACAACTATAATTTATGCTTGAACATCATTTACATCTTATTTATTACAGATTTGATTCTTTTCAGGGGCGGAACTGCAATACTGTCAGACCCCGCAATGAGGAAGGGGTGGGGGAAGTTTATGGGCCCAAAATGTGAACAAAAAAACAAACAAAATTTGCACCTTGATAGAATAGTGTTGTTTTGTAAAGAAAGCAATCAGATCCACTAACGGAGTGATACTTGTACACACATAATGATGCGTAGAGAAACAAATATAAATTGTGCCGTAATTTTTGTGTGTTGGGAATGGGGTGGGGGATTTTGGTATACAGCCATAAGAATAAAATTTAAATACACACACACAACGCATATAAGAAGAGCACTTGCATTAAACACACTTATTCAAACGCATGTACGTAAGAAACACAGCCAATAGGACGACTGGACCTATTGAGCAACAATTGTTTTTCCCGTCGCTGTTATCGTGTTCATGTTCCTCAACGGCTTGCCCTACGACTAGACAAACATATGTTTACATTAATACAATCATAGCATAATCATAGAGTATTCAAAGCAGGTTAGCCAATTGCTAAAGTGAAATCGACATAATCTCAAGTAGTACTTGCTTGAAAGCGTGTTTAAATTATGTAGAATTAAAGGGAAGCAAGTGATATGTTTTCATACCTTTATTTTTAGCTATTGTTGCGTCCCTTAGTATCAGTCGAAAATAAATTGAATAGTTGATATTGATTAGTAATGATAATTTATACGTCAAATATACCATTAGTAACAGTTACATTAGACACTGTGACTTAATAACGAAGCTACACGAAACACTGGTAGAATTAATCAAAATAATTAATCTCACTTCGGATAGAGTTCTGAAATACACTTACAATATTTTAAATACAATTAATTATCCTAGTGAAAGATTGTAGTTGCTGAAGTGGTATCATCTCAAATAGTGCTATCATATGTCGTTTTGCTCATCTCTCATATATTTTCTCGAATAAGAAATTCTGTAGTTCGGCACCCTGGCCCTATTCTGTATGACGTCGTGAGTTCACCCAGCGCACCTGGCGTGAGTTAGGAAAAATAAAGGCGACTGGGAATAGTGTTGACCACAATCTACCGTCATGTCATCGGTAGGGAACTAAGCTATGTATGCCTATTTATTACAGGATGTCGTATTGTGCAGGCCTAGCATAGCGTGTATCAATATTGTATTTTTACAAGCTTTTATTTAGTTTGCAACGTCTGTTTGTGGGTTTGTGGCAAATTTCGTAGCTCAATTTTGGCCAACTTCTAATGCTGCGACTTTGTTAAAAAAATTAAAATAACGGTTTTAACCGATTTGAAACTAAGGGGATTAATATCCGTTCGTGCCCAAAAAACATGGGGCAGATGAAGTAGAGTTCATGTGTTGTGTAACATAATCTACGGATTGCTTCACATAAACAGCTGACAGACTTAGCCTTGATTTTCACATACATTGACAATTTTACTTGATAAATTGGCTTCTTTAATTTAAATGCAAAGTCTTTTTATGTGGCGAGTGTCTTAGAAAAAGGATACAAGGCCTGCTCCCACCCAGAGTCATAGCGACCCTTCCCGGCGCCTGGGGACAAACTTTTTGATTTGCATCTCCCCCTCAAACATTTGATTTGCATCCCCTCAACCTTTCAATTTATTTTTCCAACCCATTTTGGCGCCCCCTAAGGTCGGCGCCCCCCCCCCCCCTCGCTACGCTACTGCTCCCATCCTCTCTACACGTGTAGAAAAAGGTGATAAACTGGTTTTAATAAGCCGTTTTTAAAAGGATATGTGAATAGTGACAAATACAAATCTGACAGACAATCTGGCCACTTAAAATGTCCAAATTAATCTGAAATTTACAAAGTATAGCAACAAAATTAATTCTCTTGCTGTAATCGAGCAGACGACAGTGCAACAGTAACTCTAGTTATGGTCGTTTGCACATGTCCTTAATAGAATTCACACACAAACATCAAACTTTTTAATCTTGTGTTGAGTGAAATAAACTTTGACATCCTATTTCGTCAGTCTTTGTCGTTTAACTTTTTTAAAGCTGTAGTTATAAGTTAGACATTGTCTCGTTTTTTGTCTACATAACAGTAAATAGTTTATATATCCAAGCATACTGTCAAATTGCTTAAATGTTCAAATACGATTAGTGGTCATACATAAATAACGTTACAGACCTGATAGCTGCTTTGACAGTGTAATATTGAGTAATGCTGCTCACTCAATGTGAGAGCTTTTTTCCATTTTATTTTATTTTCATATTGTGTTTCTAAATATACATTTTATATATTAAAGTAAATATGATTAATCGATTTACACATACATGCTTAAGAATGTATATATATATATATATGTATATATATATATATATATATATATATATATATATATATATATATATATATATATATATATATATATATATATATATATATATATGTGTGTGTATATATATATATAATGTGTACAACTCAATCTGCCCTGTTTATATTTAAAAAGATAATATCGCGAGGCCACGTTAGATTAAAATCTCCAGGCGAAGACCGGGCAAGTTAATACTTAATAGTACGGTAGAAGGAGAGACTATGGTTGCCGGGCTTACGTGGGCCCATACAAAAAGAACTGCACAAAACCGGTTTAAGGGTACAGCTGCATTCCTTTGCTTGTCAGGGGCTTCATAGGAACAAGTCAAATCCTGTGTAAGAGGAAATAAATATATAGACGTAAATGTAAAACAACTAGTGTCTTGTATAGTTACACCAGCCTTAAGAAAATCATCAGAGATTAGAAACAAAAATAAGATAATTGAATGACAGCACATTTGATCTGTTGATACACTTTCTTATATTGACTTGTCCAGACATATTTTAACCTTTTGTGGAGATCTGTAGATCACTTGATACGGTCTGATTAAACCGGAGTCTTTATTAACGTCATTATGTAAAAGAAATCAGAACAGTACATTTCAAACATAAACAGTGTACGCCTAGTAACACTCATAACAAAACGTGTTTTTTTTTATCACAAGCACGATATGACGTGTTGTTACTTTGATCAGGTACAGACAGGTATGAACACGAAGCTCGTGCTTAGTGCGTGCCAGATTTTCAGTTTGATTAAAATTTTGTAATAGACAGGTGGATACAAGTTGAATAGTTATGTCAATGTTTTTGTATTGTGCGGTGACTCGGATCAATATTTCAACATTTGTAACACCTACTCCTTCTTGAATGCCAACTTGGCCATTCAAATATTATTTCTTCTAAGTTATTTAACCATATCAGTCACCGAGTTGGCATTTCCAAAATTTATTTATGTTAAGACGTAAATGTTTAATAGAGTTTTAGAATTCTTTGTTACAATTATACTACGCAAGGCTTCTTTCATTCAAGTCTATTCAAATCAATTACATTAAGCGAGTTTAAACACGTGCATACGTTTTTACTAGACACATTCTTTCTATTCTATGTGTTTATGACGAACAGAATACCTAACTACAGAGTATATTCACGCTGCTTTGAAACCATAGGGTCTACGACTAATTCCCGAAGAACACTTGCCCGAATGCCGTTTTACCGAATGAATACTTGCCTGAATGTGACAAAAGCCCGAATGAAAACATTCGGGCAAGTGTCCTGTCGGGCTTTTGTCGCATTCTGGAAAACGTCCGGCTCTCGAAACAATGTCCGTAATTGAATTCAAAAACTCTCTTGAAGTCTACACTTGGACGGTAAAAGCAGAATAGCAGACAGATCAGTTAATTATTTATTATTATTTTAAATTAATCAAGCACTAGAATTTAAAGTGAACACAAGTGAACTTCATATTTGGTACCACAAAAAGTAGGTACAGCCACCGAAGCAAAACATCGAAATGAATATACCAAAAATGTTTTAGACCTTTCTTGTCCATTATCATGTCACAGCTACACAGACTATTAAAAAATAATCATACAGTGTTTTTAATATAATCTTAGCATGCAGTCTTTTACTATATTTTTTAAAGATTGTCAGTTATTGCTATTTTTATAATACACTTTCGATTAGAAGATAATATAATTCTATGTTTTATAAATTTAAAATATTCTAACATACGTTGTCTATTAAGCAATGGTAGGTAGAAAATTAATGGCACAGATCTTCTGCTTAATCCCCTCAAGTTAGTAACCAATTGCACCATAATTGATGCTAGACAATTTAATTAACGGTTGACCTAATAGCGTAATAATACGTAGCTAGCCTATATTAAACACGCGTGCAATCGCTCCCCAAAGAGCATTAAAAACTCTGCTACATATGTATGTTACAGTTTATAGCTTTCAGTGACAATTAGTGCTAAATCCAAAACCCTTAACACATCCTCATCCCTAATTCTATCCATATCGGTCCCAACTTTGTCGTAAATCCTAAACATCGCACTAATTATAGCAATAATTGTCACTTATTCCCTTTCGTTATACAAAACCCAATCATTATCATATCCTAAATCTATCACATCCTATATTATACACTACTCATTTTCCGTAATCCTAACATTAAATTATGATTAACCTGTCTTTTATGTTTCTATCTTTAAACCGGTGATAATTAATTACCATAGGTTGTGGTAATGTCCTACTGCAGTGTTTAGGTCGGGGTACTGCCAGGGAGGGAAAGGGGTAATTGGCAGTAAGTTATTAATCGGGGGGGGGGGGGGGGGGCAGGGGGTATTTGATGGAAAGAGCTTAATGAAATTCCTGTTTTGCCCACCTCCTACACAAGAGTGCAGCGTAGCGTAACTTCTCCATAGACCACAACACCTCTATTTAATTATTCGGCTTAACAAACTCCAATCCCTACCACAAACCACGACAAAAATAAATACTACCGAATTCGGATGTTTACTTTATCGTACACGAAGTATAGAGACGGAAATGTAATCGTGCAAAACAAAATCGAATTTTTTGCAAATCTCGACGTTTTACACCTACTGTGTGTGTGTATGTATGTGTGTCTGTAAACACGATAACTTGAATACCGTTACACCTAGGTTGATGAAATTTTATATATAAGTATTATAGCAAAATTGTAGTTCTTAATCAACGTTTCATCGATGTCCAATAACCGTATATG